GGGTGGGGTTGGAGGGGTCAGACAGCTATGGAAACACATGGTGTCTGTAGAGTTCAGTAAATACCACAATACTGGAATGGTGACTTTTAAAAAATTGCTTTGCTGTAATTCATATTCGTGACATAACATTTAGGACACATCATGCAGAGAAAGTCTCCTTCCCTCCTTATTCTACAGCCACACACTCCTCCAGCTCAGAGGCACAACTATAACTTGTTTTGTGTACCTTCCAGAACTATTCTACACTTACAAGGCATCTCCCACCTCCTTAAACAAAAAGACAGCACTATTCAAAGTGCGTCATTCTGTACTTTGCCTTTGTTTTTTTTTTTTTTTTTTTTCACTTACTCTATCTTGGAAATAATTCTGTATCAGTACACAGAGTGACTTTGTTCTTATTTATGGCTGCATAGTATTCTATTGCCTGCATGAGCCACAGTTCATTTAACCAGACCCCTATCACTGAACATTTCGTTTATTTCCAAACTCTTGTTATTAGAGACAAAGCTGCAATGACTTTCCTTGCACATTGGTTTCCACTCGTGTGGGTATAAATGTCGGAGAAATTCTTGGCAGTGGAATTGTTGCATCGAAGGGGCTCATGCATCCCGGTAGATACTGCTCAGTAGGGTTTATACCAACTCGCTCTCCCACCAGGAATGTGTGAGAGTGTCTGTCTCCTCACACCTACACCCACATAGTGAGTGATCACACTTTTCCAAACTTTGCCAGTCTCTTAATTGAAAAATGGCTGCTTGGTGTTAATTTGCATTTATCTTTTGAGTGAGGTGGAACATCTTGTCACATGTTTTGGAGTCATTTGTATTTTCTGTGAACTGTCTGTATAAATAATTTGCCTATTTTTCTATTAGGTGGTTGGTCTTATTTACTTGTAGGTCTTTATACATCAAATGCGCTACCCCTTTGTCCGCATGATAGACTTTGAAATTTTTTTTTTTAGGAGAACAGGCTGCTTTTAGATATAAATGAGAAGTTTCTGCAGATCGCATCATTTTCTGCACATTGCTGCAGGGCTGCCCAATGGCTGAGGCATTGGGAATACTGTGTAGGGCTCTTAAAGGTGATGTTAGAAGCCGGGGGGTGGGCCCTGGGGACGGCAGGCAGGGAGTGGGGGGACAAGGAGGTGGATATTAGCTCTTGCATTGGATGGAAGGGGCTGCCACAGGAGACAGTGAACTCCCCAAGGTAGAAAGTGGGCAGAACAGGCTGGCCTGGCTTTAAGACCCCTCTGCCCCTGCTCTCAAATACCTGAGGATAAGCAACAAGTCAAGTGGGAGGACCCACCAAGAGGGCCATCAATTTCTGGCCATTTAGGCCTGATTGGGTGGTTACTGCATCTGGAAGCTCCTAGTAACATTATTTAATAGTAATATAAACTCCTAGAATGTAAACTCCAAGAGGCCAGGGTTTAAATGCTAAATAAATGGTGTGGAATGAATGAATGAATGAATGAATGAATGAATTTGGTCAAAGAATGTGAGGGGCTACTATTTCTGGGTGGGGGTGGGGGTAGGCAGAGTTCTCTTTCTCTCCCTTCCTCTTTGAACCTACTCTCTCCTCTTCCTTCCTCTTACCCCAGCTCAGTCAGGTCTCTCTCTCATGCGGTCCTGGTTCCAGCCTCCTCCCCACTTCGCTGCTTCCAGACGCTCCTCTGTCTTCCTATTGATCCTCCTCTCCAGCAGCTTGATTCGCTTCAAGAAAATGCAGGTTCCCTGGCTTGTTCCCAGGCAGGGCACCGTGGTTCACGCCTGTAATCTCAGCACTTTGGGAGGCTCAGGCGGGTGGATCCCTTGAGCTCAGAAGTTCAAGATAATCCTGGGCAACATAAAGAGAGCCCGTCTTTACAAAAAATTTTAGAAATAGCCAGGCGTCGTGGTGCACACCTGTAATCCTGCTACTTTGAAGGCTGAGGTGGGAGAATGGCTTGAGCCCAGGAGCTGGAGGCTGCAGTGAGCTACCATTGTTGTTCCACTGCACTCCAGCTGGGTGATAGAGTGAGAACTTGCCTCAAACAACAATAACAACAATGACAACAACAACAAACATTAGATCGCCTCCCATTGCCTGCGCTTCCTAGCTTGCCCTTCAAGGGGCTTCTAATCTACCCACTTCTCTGGCTTCCTCTCCTGCAACTCCTACCCACCCACCTTGTCTCCCACCTCACACACTCCGTGTTCCTCCAGCAATCACAACGGTCACTAACTGAGCCCTTTCTACATGTACTTTTACGTGAACTATCTTGTTTAAGACTCACAACAATCTATGGGATCTACGAGGGTGAGGCCATTATCAACCCCACTGTACAGATGAGGAAACCAAGACCCAGGGACATTTTAGGGGCTTTCCAAAGGTCACCCGACAAGCAGATGGCAGAGTTCGGATTCAAAACTCTCCGACCCTCCGGCCAGGGAGCCTAAGTGCTGCACCAGTGCTAACCAGTTGCCAGTCCTGGGTGTGCCATGCTCCTTCAAGCTCCCCTGCCTTTGCTTGTGCTGGGTCCTCATCTGGAGGGCTCTCCCTTCTATTGTCCATCCACCAAAACCTTGTCTTTCAAGCTCTCACTCATGGGTCACCTCCCCTGTGAAACCTTTCCCAGCTTCGCCAGAAAGAGCTGATGTCTCACTCTTTAACTTTACGATTGAGAACTTTGTGCTGTGATTATCTGGGGACTGTCTTCCCCATCAGTGTGCCCCTGAGTGGGCAGACTGTGCTGTATCTCCCTCTAGTGTCTTGTGCAATGCCTGGCACAGAGCAGGTGCCCTCTAAACGCTTGGCAGCTGAATGACAGTGGCCCCGGGACTCCTTCTCCTTAGCACAGAGTTGGGAAGGACTGCTGGGAGCTGCCAGTGGAAGTGGGGAGTGGGTAGGAAGTTTCAGGGCCTCGCCTTGGGAGAGGCGTCCATCTAGGGGCAGCTGGAGACAATTTTACCACTCACCTTTGGGCCAAGACCATCCCCAGGGGATCCAGCTGGTGGGGAAGTTCTATACTTGCACTACCCCTAGAAGTCCTTGGGAACCAACTATCTCACCCCTAAGGGGGTTTCTCCTCTTGTGATGTCAGGAACTGAACCAAGAAGGGAAGCAATTCTTGGCAGGGTCTCTAGATGCTACAGGAGGAAGTGTGGCCAGAGTCTCCATACTCAGTGCCTGGCTTGCCCCAGCCAGTGCCCTTTGGACCCCAGGAACTAAGGGGTTACATGGCTTTGGTAAGAAGGTAGTTCCGGAGTGGGTGGGGACTTCCTTGGGGTGTGAGGGAAATTGCCCCATCCCCGGAGCTGTGGGGTAAGAACTCTCTGTCCCAGTGCCTCTCAGCAGCCCTGTCACCGTGCTCTGGCTAGGACTTTGGGCAGTTTCTGAGCTTTTCTTGCAAAGCCCCAAGGCCTTTAAGAGGTACTCCTATACCTTTGGCCCCTGTCCCTACCCAACCAACTTTTGCCTCTCCTGCTGCCTCGCTCAGGAACTTACTAAGGCTCCCTGTAGCCTCAGGTCAAAATGCCTCAGGCTACGGCCACTACATCCCAAAGTCTCAGAGACAGGACAGTAGAGAAGCTAGGGGCATGGGCTCTGGGTTAGCCAGACGAGTCCAAAGCCCACCTCACTGTGTGACCTTGGGGTATTCACTTCACCTCTTGAACTCCAGTTCCTTCATCCTGAAAATGAAAAGAAATAAAATCGACAACCTCAAAATTAAGGAATTTGCTCAATAGGACAAGTTTATCCAATGGAAGCCATCACAAATCAGTTGTTCTCAGAGTGGTCCCTGGACCATCAGCATCACCTGGGTACTTGTTAGAAATGCAAATTATTGGCTGGGCACGATGGCTCATGCCTGTAATCCCAGCACTTGGAGAGGCCAAGGCGGGTGGATCACCTAAGGTCAGGAGTTCAAGACCAGCCTGGCCAACATGGTGAAACCCAATCTCCACTAAAAATACAAAAATTAGCCAGGCATGGTGGCGCACGCCTGTAATCCCAGCTACTCGGGAGGCTGAGGCACAGAGGTTACAGTGAGCTGAGATTGCGTCTCTGCACTCCAGCCTGGGTGACAGAGCAAGACTCTGTCCCCACAAAAAAGAAAAAGCAAATTTTCAGGCCCTTCCCCTTCTCTTATGGAGAATCTATAGGAATGGGGCTCAGACATCTGTGTTTTAGCAAGCCTTCCAGGAGATTCTGATGCCTGCTGAAGTTTGAGTACTGTCACAGATAATCTTGACAGAAAGCAAATATATTAGGTGAATATACCTGGAACATCAACATCCAAAAGGGATTAATATGTAAAATGTATAAGCTACTCTTGCAAATCAATGAGAAAAAGACAGGAAGCCCAGTAAGAAATGAACAAAAGATATGAATAAGGAAGTCACGGAAAGGAAAGCACAAATGGCTGACAAGTACAGGAGGAAGTTATAATTTCAGGATTAACAGAGAAATGCAAATTAAAACAACTTGCCACCTTACACCCAAACTGAAGGCAAAGTTACAAAATCAGATAATGAAAAACCTGATGAAGATGTGGGGAAACAGCATCCTTCACTCACTATTGGTGAAAGCCATTCTGGAAGAAGTTAATGAAATGTAAAAACCTGCCTGTGATCTAGTAATTCCACTCTTGGGTTTAGAGCCCAAAGAAATGCTCACATAGGCCCATAAGCTTCATGTACAAAAATGTTCATCACAGTGTTGTTTGTGGTGAAGAGGGAGTTGAAAGCAACCTGGGTGTTCATCTCTGGGGAGATGGATAAAGAAAACAGTGGATGCTCAGCTTGAAATATTTTGCAACAGTTGGATGCAACAGCGAGATTTTTCAACAGCAACATAGGTAGGTATTTAAAACATTTTCGGGTGGCTGGGCTTGGTGGTTCAACCATTAATCCCAGCACTTTGGGAGGGTGAGGTGGGAGGATCACTTAAGCCCAGGAGTTCGAGGTTGCAGTGAGCTGTCATTGCACCATTGCAGTCCAGCCTGGTGACAGAGCAAAAACCTGTCTCTAAAAATTTTATTTTTTTAAATTAAAAAAATTACAGAATAAAAGCAGCAATAGAATGAAATTCTTATATATACCATTCATGCAAACACACACACAAAGCACTGTGTAGTTTAGGTACAGGGACATATATCAGCACATAGGGTTAGATGCTCATGGTAAAGAGGGAAAAGGAGTGTGGGGAACATGTGGATTGGGAGAGGGGAAAACATCAGAAGGACCCTACATGGACCAGTGATAATGGGATGATCATTTACCACAAACCAAGTATGAATTATGGAACTCTTTGGACCTGGAGTCCTAATAATATTTTTTTAAAATTGCTAACAGTACCTATTTTATGGTGTGTACAATGTGTCTGGCCATGGAAGCCTTTGCAAGGTTTTACATATATATTTTGGCTCTCCTGTGTGGGTCTCTGGTCTCCTCTCAGGCCTCGTTCCTTTTAGCTTTCCAGCCTTTACTCAGGCTGTGCTGAATGCTGTCCTCATCCTGACTTCTCTACCTCTCCAACTTTGCCTTCATATTTCTTTGGCTACCCCAGACTCCCAGATGGCTGCCTATGGAGTCTTGGCTATTTCTGGTTTGGGACTTGAGCACAGAGCTAGGCTGTAACAAGGCTGCAAGGGGACAAGTATTGTTTCTTCCTCCCAAACAGTGAGCTCCCCTGAGGGTCTTCTGAATAGCTCACCCCTACCTCAGTTGCAGGAAGATGCACCCAGGCATCTTTTGCTTATTACCAGGCAAGAAAGGTAAACTGAGTCAGAAAATGTTTGATGTGGAAAGGAATATTTCTTAAGCACTTATCGTGTGCTAGACTCAGCTCTAAAGTCTTAACCCTCAGTAATCCCTATGGCCACCCTGTTAGATGGATGGGGGCTGAGCTCACTGGACGGATGGGGAAATGGGAGCACACAGAGGTTATGACACTAACCAGTTAGAGGCTCCAGGTCGGCCTGGCTCCAAATCCAAGAGTTGAACGAACACCTTGTTTGGGGTCTTGAGGCCAGAATGGGACCCAGATTGCCCCCGAGTCAACCCTGGTGGAGGAAACCGTCTACTCCACACTGACTGTACAAGTCAGGCATCAGGGGATGGGAGACCCTGACATTTAGAGCCTTAAGAAGACCTTCTACACTATTTAGTATGGTCAGTTTGAGGTCATATAAGGAGAATCAGGAGATTCCCTCAAGCCCTTTCCCCTCTTTTTGAACCATTGTTTTCCAATCTGTAAAATAGGACCCAATTCTGGAAATTCTTTTCTCAGTCTGCCAGCAGGTGGAGCCCACTCTTCATGCCTTCTTCAGCCTCCAGAAAGCTGCGGCGTCCCAGGGAGGAGGTGTTCTGGGGCCGCGCCCTCTGGGCTTCTGGGACAAAGCAGGATCGCTGCCCAGCCCCAGCCTGGCAGAGCGGCACGGGAGCCCCGGGTGACTGCCCCGGTCTTTAGGGCCCGGCTTCGCTCGCCTGCTGCAGGACACTCTCGGTACTGCAGGGTCCCGGGCCCCAAAGGCAGGGAGCGAGACCCTGGAGTGAAGACGCCCCCGCCCCCGCCAGGTGTGATGAGCGGGCTCTGGGGACAGGGTCTCCCCCGGGGATAGGGTCGCCCAGGCAAAGCTGAGACTCGGAGGTGGGCTGCGGGGCCACACCGTCCGCAGGGGCGGTGGCTACAGGTAGTTGTCTTCGGCAGCGTCGCTCCCGCCCCTGGAGCCCCGGGGCTCATCCTCCTCATCGTCGTCGTTATCGTCGTCATCGGGGGCCAGCGCCTCGATGTCGTGCGTGATGTCAGCCAGCAGCCGGTGGAAGGCCTGTACCTCGGGCCGCTGCGCCGCGCCATCGTAGCTGCGCACTGCAGAGGCCGACGTGGAGCTCATGCTGCGCTTGATGCGGCCAAAGCTGTCAGTGAGGATGCCGCCCTCGCGGATGCCCACGCCCTCCAGGAAGCCCTCGAAGTAGCCGATGTCCTGGTCCGGGATGAAGGGCCGCATCCCTGTGAGCCGAGGGACGTGGTGAGTTCTCAGGGCACGGCCCCTTTCCCTCCCACAGGTGAAGCGTCCTCTCTGCAGATCAGGGTGCAAATCCCTGTTGTCACTCACTGGCTGTGTGGCCTTGCCCAAGGTCCTTAACTCTGAGCCAGCCAATAACAGCACAGCGCTCAGCACACAGTGAATGCTCACTACATACTACATTACTGTACTTTTATTATTATTATAGCCTCCGCCTCCTGGGTTCAGCGCCGCCTCAGCCTCCCAAGCAGCTGGGATTACAGGCGCACACCACCATGCCCTGCTAATTTTTGTATTTTTAGTAGAGACAGGGTTTCATGTTGGCCAGGCTGGTCTTGAACTCCTGACCTCAAGTGATCCGCCAGTTTCGGCCTCCCAAAGTGCTGGGATTACAGGTGTGAGCCACCTTGCCAGGCCTATTTTTGTTGTTATTATTAGTACCATCATTACATTCCCATTGATTAATTATGTTGAATCTCATTTTCCTCACCTGTAAAACTGAGATAATTGCACCTGTTCTCTGGGTAGGGATGTGAGGATTAAATAACAAGGTACTCAGCACATACTGAGCACCCTGTAAACAGTTTGTTTTATTTCCATTCCTACTTACTAGCTATGTGACCTCAGTCCTTTACTTTGTTACTCTGAGTCTCAGTTTCCTCACCTGCAAAATGGGGACCAATAATAGTATCTACTTCTCAGAACTGGGGGCATTCAATGAGATGATGCTTGGCATATGGTAACTGCCAAGCACATGTCAGCTTATTTGTACTATTCCTCCTATGATTAGCCCTCCTTACTAGATGTGTGACCTTGGACATGTTCTTTAGCCTTTCTGACGCTCAGCTTCTGCGTGGGGTAAGATGGGGAAGAATCAGTCCCTCTCCCAGCTTTGCTGTGCAGATGAAATGGCCACACCACTACTTAGTTCTTCTTATCAACAGTGTCTCCCAGCACTGACAAGTCCTTTCCCTACTCTGCACCTTGAGCTCCTCATCTGCCCTGCGAATCTCATGATCTGGGTTTCATCAGAGGCTGAAGGATAAGGAGAAAACATTCAAACCCAGGTGCCTGACTGGGATGGCAAGGACCAAGCGGGGGCCCTAGCTGACCTCTGGGGGTGCAGGGGGCACTCACCGAGGAGGAGGAACTTGCGCCGGTCTCCATAGAGCTTCAGCAGGCCTGTGCAATAGTCCTGGATGGGCAGCCCCAGCCGGTACTCCCGCAGCAGCAGCGCAAATTGCTGGATCTCGAGGGGCCCCAGCTTACTCCGCAACTATGTGGGGGACACCATTCAAGATCAATCCCAGGGAGCAGCCCCACCCAACCCCTGCCTGAAAGGCCCAGAGCCTTCCCTAAGGGCATGTTTGGCCCAGCTCTCCTCTGAAAACCTTCCCATGGGCTACTCAGAGGACATCTAGATCCCTTAGGCTGCATCTAAGAATAGGATGTGTACTCAAGCTGCTGAGTGCAAATCTTGACCCCTTCGCTGAATCAGCTCTGTGATCTTGGATAGTTGACAGCTTCATGATGCTTGCTTTTCTCATCTGCAACGTGAGGATAATGATGGCATTTTCCTCTTGGTGTTGTTGAAAATATTAAAAGAAATAATGCATGAAAGGTGCTTAGAATGATGCCTGGTATACAGCAGGCACTCAATTAATGCCAGCTGACATTAGTTAAGGCCTTTCACAAGCTGGCCTCAGTTTACTCTCCTAACCTCATCTCCTGCTCTGACCTCTGAGGTCTTCTACTTAGGTTATGTCCACCGCCATGTGCAATTCCCAAAATGTTTACTCCAGTCTCCAGGACTTTGCTTGTGCCATTTTCACCACCGGCCCCAGCTCACCGTGACCATGTAATCCTGTAACTGCTCCAAGCCCAGACCGCTGTGGTCGCTGCCGCTGCAGTGGGAGCCGTGAAAAGAAGGTGTGGACGTGCCGCTGTAACATGCTTCAAAGGTGTCCTGGGAGCCATTGCTGCAGGCACAGGAAGAAGGGCCTTCACTCCCCTCCCTCCAGCTCCTCGCCCTCGGGCAGGCTGAAGGTAGGAGGCCTCATCCTAGACTGCACGCTGGCCTCCAAGGCCTGGCACACCCTGGCCCCTGGCACCTCTCAAGCCTCATCTCTCACTGTGCTTACCTTTGCCTTTGCTCTCTGTGCTCCGTGCCCCCGCCCCCGCTCCCTTTCTCCTTCTTCCTCTACTATCTCCTCATCCCTGGGTGTTTGCACCTGCTGTTCCCTCTGCCTGGATTGCCTCCTTTCCCCTCCCTTTTGCTCAGCGAACTCGTACTTATCTCATGATCTTAAATGTCATCTCCTCAGGAGAGTGTTCCCTAATTCCCCTAGGTTGGGTTAGAACCTCTGTCGAACGTGCTCCCTCAGTCCATGGCTTACCTGTGATATGCATGGCCTTTCCAGGTACCCCCAAGCATCCTGTCTGACCAGTCTCTCCCTCACACCATTTGCCACAGCCACAGTGGCCACCTGCTGCTCCTCAAACCCACTAAGCTCTATCCTGTTCAGAATTTTTTTTTTTTTTTTTTTTTTTTTTTTTTTTTTTTTTTTTTTTTTGAGACAGATTCTTGCTCTGTCACTGAGGCTGGAGTACAGTGGTGTGATCTCGGCTCACTGCAGCCTCCACCTCCGCCTCCCGGGTTCAAGCGATTTTCATGCCTCAGCCTCTTGAGTAGCTGGGACTACAGGCATGTGCCACCCGGCCAATTTTTGTAGTTTTTGTAGAGACGGGGTTTCACCATGTTGTCCAGGCTGCTCTCAAATGCCCATCTCGGCCTCCCAAAGTTCTGGAATTACAGGCATGAGCCACCACACCTGGTCAGCTCAGGATTCTTACTTTTGCTCTTCCCCCTTTCATCCTCCAGGCCTCAGTTCATGTGCCATCACCTCTGAGAGGCCCTCCTGACTCTCCAGCTGAGTTGGGATCCCCCTCAGCCTCTCTTATAACACCCTGAGCCTCCCTTTAGTACTTATTATCATTAATGATTGTTACTGTTAAATTGTGATTTCACTGCCTCCCATGCTAGATTGTAAACTTCACAAGAGCAGGAACCTTGGTTTTCTTCATTTGTTGAACACCTACTATGTGACAGGCCCAGGTTTTGCCCTCTGTCTTGTGTCCATCTGTATCCCCAGCATACAGCACAGTGCCTGGCACATAGAAGGTACTCAAGAAATATTGCTTAATAAAAATTCAACCTTGGGCTCCTGCCTCCTTGTCTCCAAATTGTTCCAGAACCATCCTCCATTATTACCTACAAAGAAGCAGTGTAGCTTTGTGGTTAAGGGACTGGACTCTGGAGCCAGCCTTCTTCTGTTCAAATTCCAGACCTACAACTTACTAGGTGCTTGACCTTGGGAAAACTAAACTTAATTTCTCTATTTCTCAGTTTTTCCATCTGTAAAATGGTATAATAATAATTGGTATCATCATGAGAATTAGAGGAGTTAATATTTGTAGAACACTTAGAATTATAGGCTATAAGCAATAAACAGTAACTGCTGTAATGTTACTATATTGATGAAAAAATAAAGTGCTTTATAGAACAGCACTTAGTACATAGCAAGCTCAATGTTCAAACGCTATTATCATTATTTTATCTCTCCAGTAGATATCTGGTTGTTTAAAGACTAGCCTAAGGGCACACAGTATGAGGAAGGCAAATCTATTGCCACTAAAAAGGAAAACACAGTAAGGGATATATCACTGGCAGAGGCTGCTACCTGCCAAACCGAAGCCCTTAGTAACATGACTAGGTGATCAACCAGTAACCCAGGACTTTTTTGGTTTTAGCACTGAAAATCCCATATCCCGGGGAACCCTTCATTCCTGAGCAAACTGGGATGGCTGGTCATCCTAAACAGAACCTTGGGTAATGTTCCCAACTGAATTGTTTAACATTTTATTTATTTATTTATTTATTTGTTTGTTTAAATAGAGACAGGGTCTCCCTATGTTGCCCAGGCTGGTCTCAAACTTGTGGACTCAAGTGATCCTCCTGCCTTGGCCTCCCAAAGTGTTGAGATTACAGGTGTGAGCCACCGCAACTGGCCTGAATTTATTTATTTATTTATTTATTTAATTTTATTTTTATTTTTTTTTGAGATGGAGTCTTGCTCTGTCACCCAGGCTGGAGTGCAGTGGTGCAATCTCAGCTTACTGCAAGCTCCGCCTCCTGGGTTCACACCATTCTCCTGCCTCAGCCTCCCAAGCAGCTGGGACCACAGGTGTGGGCCACCATACCTGGCTAATTTTTGTATTTTTGGTGGAGACGGGGTTTTGCCATGTTGCCCAGGATGGTTTGGAACTCTCGGGCTCAAGCGATCCACCTGCCTCAGCCTCCCAAAGTGTTGGGATTACAGGTGTGAGCCACTGCATCTAGCCTGAAATATATATTTTTTTAATCCTAAATTTTTCAGCTTTGCTTGCAGCTAGTGATGGCTACGTAACAAAGTTCTGGCCTATGAGATATAAGCAGAAGTCATCAGGTGGGAATCTGGCAGAACTCTTTAAAGAGGCCCCTAGCATGCTACTGTGATGGCTGGAGCTACAACCACCATCTTGGTCCATGAGGTGACCTTGAGGATGGCTGCAAGTCCTGAAGAGGGTAGGGGAGGAAAAGAGAAACCTGAACTCCTAACAACCATGAAATGTTGAATTGCTGCTCTATTTTATGTCAAAGATAAGAAAAAAAAAAAAAAAAGTTCTATCTTGTTTAAGATATTCTTTTTGGGAGTTTTCTATTACATGAAACCAAAATTAAGCCAAAATGATTTTTTTGGCATATAGCTATCTATGATTTTGGTTTCTGCAGGCTACTGTGCCTGGATGACTGGGAGAGAACCACAGGCCTGTGTGGACCCACATCTGAGTTCTGGTGTCTCGTGGGTCTCTCAGGGGCCTAGATCCTGTGAGTTTCCAGAGTCAGGGAGCTCAGTTTACCTCCCCCTGTTAGTGCCCAGTGTCTCAGCACATATCAAGGTTGGGTCACCTTCTCCTACCCTCTCTAGACTAGTGACCCGGTTTGTGCAGGGGTAGGGGAGCAGGGTGGAGTCCCTGACAGGGGCTGTACTCACAAGGAGCTGCAGCAGCTGAAGTCGGCATCATAGGCATACGTCCCATCTGTGCGGCAGCTCTCACCTAGGACCAGTAAGCAGAGGGAGTGTGAGAGGCAGCAAAGCAGGGATCAGCATCCCCGGCTCCCTGAGGCCCCGCCCTCAGTCTCAGCCTGAAGTCTAGTCCTGCCCCTGACACCAACACACAGCAGACCCTGGGGAACTCCCCTCCCCTCTCCTGATCCTCAACTTCCCCGACATGGGGACAATACCACCCCCTGCCTACCTCACGGGGGGCCTTGGGAACAGCAGATGAGGAAACATGTGAGGGAATATTTTATAAACTGTGTGTTTCAGGCAAGACAAAAAAAAAAAAGAAAAAAAAATTTGTGGCTCACGCCTGTAATCCCAGCACTTTGGGAGGCCAAAGCAGGAGGACTGCTTGAGCCCAATAATTCAAGACCAGCCTGGACAACATAGAGAGACCCCATTTCTACAACAACAACAAATTTAGCTGGGTGCGGCAGTGCACGCCTGTGGTCCCAGTTACTTGGGAGGCTGACATAGGAGGATTGCTTGGGCCTGGGAGGTCAAGGTTGCAGACAGCCATGATTGCACCACTATAGTCCAGGCTGGGTGACAGAGCAAGACCCGGAAAAGGAAGAAAGAAAGGAAGAAAGGAAGAAAGAGAAAATAAGAAAGGAAAGGAAAGGAAAGGAAAAAAAGAGAAAGAAAGAAAGAAAGAGAGAGAGAGAGGGAGGGAGGGAGGGGAGGGGGAGGGAGGGAAGGAAGGAAGGAAGGAAGGAAGGAAGGAAGGAAGGAAGGAAGGAAGGAAGGAAGAGAAATTTGTGAAGGGGAAGGATCTGAAAACTTTCAGAGCAAAGAAACACCAAGTATGGAGAGCTTGCGCTCTTCCTGGTCCTGTTCTCATTTAGCTGGTTATTAGCCCTACCCTTTCTGATCTCTGATCACTCAGTGTCACTTCCTTACCCTCCAGGTGGGGTCAGTTCCTCATTATATGTTCTCCCGGCACAGTCTGTGGTTATTTATTTATTTATTTTGAGACAGAGTTCCACTCTTGTCGCCCAGGCTGGAGTGCAGTGGCGCGATCTCTGCTCACTACAACCTCCACCTCCCAGGTTCGGTTGATTCTCCTGCCTCAGCCTCCCAAGAGCTGGGATTACAGATGCCTGCCACCACGCCCAGCTAATTTTTGTATTTTTAGCAGAGACGGGTTTTCACCATGTTGGCCAGGTTAGTCTTGAACTCCTGACCTCAGGTGATCCACCTGCCTTGGCCTCCCAAAGTGCTGGGATTACAGGCGTGAGTCACCTGTGCGGCCTGTGGTCATATATTTATTTGTGTACTTATTTAATTACTGTCAGCCTGCCTCCACTAAGTAAACTTCATGAAGACAGGACCACCTCTGGTTTTGCTCACCAGAATAACCTACGGATTAGCACTGGATCTGACTTACTAGGTGTTCAATAAATATTTGCTAAATGAATGAATTTGTTGAAATATTTGTTGAATTATCTAATGTATCTGCCCATCATCCTTGTGAGAGTTGAACTAACCCAGCTTCCCAACAAGCACAGCTCCCACAGATGCAAGGGTCTTCGGAAGACAAGAACCAGCACTCTGTTGCTGGTACCATGCTGCGGGAGACAGTGGCTGGGGGAATTCACCCACGGGCCTGAAGGCAGCATGGGGAGTGAGGTTGTTGCTGATAGAAGCTTCAGAATCAGACAGACCTGGGTTTGAATCCTCACTCTGCCACTTCCCAGCTGTGTGACCTTGAGTAATTTATTAAGTAATCTGAGCCTTAATATCTTCATCTGTAAAACTGGAATCCTGACTGGGCACAGTGGCTCATGCCTGTAATCCCAGCACTTTGGGAGGCTGAGGCAGGCAGATCACGAGGTCAAGAGATCAAGACCATACTGGCCAACTAACACGGTGAAACCCCGTCTCTACTAAAAATACAAAAATTAGCTGGGCATAGTGGCACACGCCTGTAATCCTGGCTACTCAGGAGGCTGAGGCAGGAGAACCGCCTGAACCTGGGAGGTGGAGGTTGCAGTGAGCCAAGATTGCACCACTGCACTCCAGCCCGGGCAACAGAGTGAGACTCCATCTCAAAAACAAAACAAAACAAACCAAACAAACAAACAAACAAAAAAACTGTAATCCTAAGGCCTCACAGAGTTCTTTCATGCCTTCAAAAAAATACTTTGTGAGTATCTGATGTACCCAGTTTCAGGACAGGCAAGGTTGCTATGAGGACATGGCACATTGGTATGGTGCTTGGCACACAACTGGTGCTCAACACATGCCTCTGTTGATCTCATTCTCCTTCTAGTCCTTGACTGTATCAAGGACCCATCTGGAAATCTTTGTTTGGCCTTAGGGTCTTAGTGGGATCAATGGCTCAGTAAACAGACGATACATGTGCTTAGGTTTCTGCAATACAGGGACACAAAAACAAAAGGGGGAGAGAAGAGTTCAACTCTAGGGGGCTTGTTCTGAATTTGGCAATCCAAACATCTTTGAAGAAGCTAAGTTTGAGATCATGATGAAAACTGATGGCTGGGTGCAGTGGCTCACGCCTATAATTCCAGTACTTTGGGAGGCTGAGGCGGGTGAATCATGAGGTCAGGGGCTTCAAGACCAACCTGGTCAAGATGGTGAAACCCTGTCTCTAAAAAAAAAAAAAAAAAAAAAAACCAAGCGTGGTGGCACACGCCTGTAATCCCAGCTACTCGGGAGGCTGAGGCAGAGAATTGCTTGAACCGGGGAGGTGGAGAGCAGAGAGTGGAGGTTACAGTGAGCTGAGATTGCATTACCGCACTCCAGCCTGGGCTTGGCTGGTGACTCCGCCTCAAAAAAAAAAAAAAAAAAAAAAGAAAGTTAAAAGAAAAGAAAATTGACATTTCACCTACAATTACATTTCACCTGTAATTATGGCAGAGATCAGGAACCCTAAAGACCTTCATCAACCCCAAGTCCTGGGACATCTTCCCTCCCCTGGCCTTTTTGGGATGTTTCATAGGAGGGGAGGCCAGGAGTTCTGGTACTCACTGCGGCTGCAGAGCCACGGCCGTTCGGGCGTGGATGTGTAGTGGTAGCCAGCCCGGTCCACACACTCAATACTCTGGTCCCCATAGATGATCTGGAAGACCTGACAGATGAGTGCGCAGGACTCCTCTGCAGCATCCTGGCCCAGGGAGGAGGATAGAGAGCTCAGGTCCTCACCAACGACCAAGATGTTACCCCTGCTTCCTAAAACACAGTGTGAAGATGTGCACAAAGATACACATCTATAGAGCCCTTTAAATTGGCTTTTGAGACTTTTTCCATCAAAATTCTATGGCTACTCTCTGGATCTTATAACCCCTTTATAGAAATCAGTGACAACTCTAACTCTTGTGCCATGAAAAATGTACCCCAGATTTCTGGAGGATTCATCAGCCTTCCTGATGCCCTTCTAAGTCTTAATTTACTTTAATGTATAGGTATGGAAACTGAGGCCCAGTGAGGGGAAGTGATTAGTCAGGATTAGAATCCAGTTCTCCTAATAGCTAGTAGGAGAAGGGATGATTAAATGTATCAAAATTTTAGGCTCAATATAGTTACTAACACTGGAAGCCATATTTAGATATGAGCTTCCTAGCATTCAGTGTGAAAATTGAAGCAGGGTAAATAAAATTCAGTCTCTGATAGAAGGAAAGAGTTTCAGTTATTGGGTAAAACTTTTTTTGAGACTGCAAATTTGAATAGGAATTTACCTCTTTATGCCTTAAGCAAGACACAGAGAAAGCCAGTAATTGATGAAGAGACTGTCTTCATGAAGTTTTTCTCTAGGTTGTGTCTCTAAAAAGGCCCAAGCTAATGGATGGTTGGATACAAAAAATAAAAATGAAAAAGTCCAAAGAATAAATTAAAGTGTAACTTCAGGATAGGCATTTTGGGATAGTGGGTGTGTCCTAATAATTAAACCAGGACTGATCCTTACCATAAACCTACAAAATAGACAGGGCAAAGAGGATCCTTATTTTATAATCAAAGATGCTGAGACTTAGAGTGGTTAAGTGACTTGCCTAGGCTCACACAGCAGGTTCATGGCATTAGTACCAGCACCCAAGTTTTGTTTCACTCTAACTCCTATATCCTCCTTGGAACCAGGATGACTCAGATAAGAAGCCAGATGCTCAGACAACCCTGGAAAGCAACTTTTTTTTTTTTGAGATAGAGTCACACTCCGGTCGCCCAGTAGCACAATGATGGCTCACTGCAGCCTCAACTTCCTGAACTCAGGTGATCCTCCCACCTTAGCCTCCTGAGTAGCTGTGTGACAGGCACACACCATCACACCCAGATAATTTTTTGTATTTTTAGTAGAGATGGGGTTTTTCCATGTTGCCCAGGCTGGTCTGGAACTCCTGGACTCTAGTGATCTGCCTGCCTTGGCCTCCCAAAGTGCTGGGATTACACTCACTTCACAAATTCCAACTTAGTCCTATTGTGTGGCCGGCACTGGGCCAGCTTCAGTACCCAAAAGCCCTCACAGTCCAGTGGGATGAACAGGGCACGCTGTTGGCTTTGTCTGGAATCCTATTTCCAGCCACAGAGGAAGTGGGCATGGTGGCTGGAGTACAAATGGCCTTGTAAGCAATTGTAAGGATGTTAGCTTTTACTTGGAGTGAAATGGGAAGCCACTGGAAGATGTGGAGTTAGGGACATGATGTGACTTACGTGTTAATGGGACCACTTTGTGTGGGGGAAGAGACTGTCAGCGAGGGCTGAACCAGTCAGAGGGTGACCACAAGATTCAGGTGAGAGAAAACAGGTGATGAACCTGGGTGGGTACAGGGGGAGGGTAGGGAGAAGCAAATGGATTTTGATGTTTTTTTGTTTTGTGATGGAGTCTTGCTCTATTGCTCAGGCTGGAGTGCAGTGGTGTGATCTTGGCTCACTGCAACATCTACCTCCCAGGTTCAAGCGATTCTCATGCCTCAGCCTCCTGAGTAGCTGAGATTAAAGGCACCGGCCACTAAGCCTGGCTAATTTTTGTATTTTTAGTAGAGATGGGATTTCGTCATGTTGGCCAGGCTGGCCTTATTAACTCCTGAACTCAGGTGATCCACCCACCTTGGCCTCCCAAAGTGCTGGGATTACAGGCTTGGTTATGTTTGAAAAATAGAGCCAACAGGATTTATCAACAGAGTGGATATCGGGTGTGTGTGAGATAGAGAGCACGAGAGGCAGCCAAGGCCCACTGCAAGGTTTTGGCCCGACCAATGTAAGGACACAGCTGCTATTAATTGTGACAGGGAAACCAAGGGAGTAGCGGGTTTGGGGGAGGAGTTTGGAGCTCAGCTTTGGATGTGTTGGGTTTGAAACAGTCATTAGATCTTCAGATGCAGATCACCTAGAAATGGGTAGATGACGGATAGATGGAGGAGGGAAGAGGATCAAGAACATAATCTGAGGCACTCCAACTTCTGGAGAAGAAGAGGAACCAGCTAGGTAGGAGAAAAGCCTGGAGAAAGTGGAGAGCTGGAAGCCAAGTGAGGAAGTGTTTCAAGTGGAGAGAGACAGCTGTGGCGTCTGAGTTTACTGGTTATTATCTGCCTCACCATCTAGATAGGAACTATGTCTGTTTCATTCACCACTGTTTTTATACAGAGGGATCTGGTGGTCCAAGATCAGAGGAAAAGCTTAGAATGCTCAGAAATTGAAGTTGTCTGCACGACTGTGAGCTCCCTAAGGATGGACACCAGATGTCTTTTTCACGTCTGTATCCACAGCACCTAGCCCATTGCCTCGCCCAGAGCTGGCACTCAATAAACACGTTCGGATGAATAAAAGCAAGGGTGAATGAAGAGGATGGGGGAGGAAGACGGGAAGATGGAAAAAGGAAGAATAGCAGGAAGGCTTCTGCCTTGGATGACCGTCTTAGTTACCAAGAGTACTGGCTCTGAATTTCCTGGATTTGAACCTTAAAACCACCACATGCTTCCTGTGTGACCTTGCCACCTATGGATCTCAGTTTCCTTCTCCATAGAATGGGGATACAGTAGTTGTAATATTTGCCTCCAGAGGTTGCTGTGAGAATTAAATGAGTTGATGCAGCCCTGTGTCTGGCAGGAGCTGGCCCTCGATTCAAGCTGATTAGTGTCCTCGTGAATGTTACTGTGGTGGGGCCAACACTGACAACGCAGGAGAACGAACGGACTGGAGGTTAGATCTAGTTTGTTTTGGCCATTTTGAGAGTTCGTCCCATTGAAGGAGTCAAGGGGAGATGCCCTGGAGGTGTCCAGGTCCGGAGTTTAGGAGCCATTAGGTGAGGTAGGTGCAGGGAAAAGGCAGAGGCAGACCCCAGGAACCTGGTGGGTGGGTGGGGGCAAGGTGGGGGGAAAGCAGCGTTCCCGAAGCCGGGCATTGGGAGCGGGCTGTCCTCGGGGCTCACCCTGTTGGCTACAGCCAGGATGACCAGGTTGCAGTAGGCGTCGGGGCTGGGGTCCTGCGGGTCAAGCGGGTTGGGACCGGGGTGGCGCCTCTCCCAGCTGCCACCGCCACTGCCCGCCTGCCTCCGCTCCCAGCTGCCGCCCGGCTTGCCTGCACCGCCGCCGCCTGCGCTTCCGTGCCGCCGCTCCCAGCTGCCGCTGAACGTCTGCCGCCGCTCCCAGCTGCCCGACGCCCGCGCCCCGACGCGCTGGCGCTCCAGGCTGCCGCCACCGCTTCCCCCGGCCCGGGCCTCCGCAGTGCCCCCACCCCACCCCATCCGCCAGTCCAGGCTGCAGATGGTGTGGCGCCGCTCCGCGGTGCCCACCCGCCGCTTCTCGGGCGCCGCGCCCGGTGGGCCAGGGTCGCGTCCTGCGCCGCCTGGGCTGGCGTCCACGCCGGCCGGCACCGGGTCCACGCCCAGACCTAGGAGAGTCCGGGGAACCGTCAGCCGAGGGGATGCGGGCTCAGAGACGCCCTCCTGAGGCCGGCTGGTGGACCTGACCTCGCAGCTCTGGCGTTCCACCGCCGCCTCGCCCAGGGCTTTAAAGTAGCGCGGCGGTTCCCCGCCCATTCCGCTTCCACACTTTCGGGCCCGCCCCCGGTCTCAGTCTCCACCCCTGGCCTCTGGGTGGTGTGGCCGGGTGGCTTCCACGCTCCCCACGCCGCCCGCGCCCCTGGGCTCAGACCTGCCCTCTAAGCAGAGGGTGGTGGTCAGGCTGTCCCCTCCCGAGGGGGCCTTAACTGGGGACCCAATCCCGGGTTTCAGGGACCGCCCCCTTGGATTCTGACTTTCCGCCTCTCCTCAGCCCCGCCCCCGGACTCAGGCCCCGCCCCCAGCCCGAGGGTGCACTCTAGCCTCAGAGCCGGGTGGTAACTGAGGATCCAGCCTTAGCCTCAGGTCTTGGGCTTCTCCACCCTCTCCGTGCTCCACCACCTGGCCTCAGTGTAGAGGCTCAGGCCACCCACCTTCATCCTCAACCTCAGGCCCTGTCTGCTTGCCCAGAGCCTCTTCGGCCTGCCCCTGGTCTCAGGGTAGAATGGTCAGGACTTTTCCAGCTCCTCTGCCCCCGCTGCAGGTCCCTCTCCTCTACACGCACACTTCCTGCCCCTGCCCCGTCCCCGCCCCCGCCCCCGCCCCCGTCCCCCGCACCGGTCTTGAGCACTAGCAGGTGCAGCGCGTCGTCCTGCAGGTAGGAGGCGGCGGCGATCTCGTGCGTAGGGATTCGCAGGATGAGCTCTTCGTTGTCGCGCCAGGTGAGCAGCAGGCAGCGGGCAGACAGGCTCAGGATGCTGTCCTGCTCCGCCGTGGTCTTCAGCGGCAGCTCCTTCAGCTGCTGCAGGGAGGGGCAGATTTCGAGTTCCCGGGATCCGCAGGTAGAAGAGGGAGAAGGGGACGAGATCCTGCCCTCCTTCCTCCCCAGAGTCTCACCCTAGCGGTGTCTAGCAGCTGCAGGAGCTCGTCCCGACTGGAGGGGTTCAGTGAGGAAGTCACCCAGGTAAGGTGGCCCAGGAACTGTATGGAAATCGTGGTGAGAGAGGGACACAGAGAGGTCACCCTGAAACCTTGAAGAACCCTGGCCTTCTCATTGATGCAGTGCGGATAGATTGAGATAGAAATACATGAATTAATATAACCTGATAATAACTTTTACTGAGCCCATAATAGAAGCCAGGCACAGTTCTGAGCGCTGTCTATATAGTCACTCATTCACCCTTGCTTTAAGGATGAGAAAAACCAAGGCAGGGTGTGGCTAACTAAACAACTTGCCCAGGATTAGGTAGCTAGAGAGGGTCAAACTGGGATCCACATGCCAGAACCCACACTCTCAACTGCTGGCTTATATTGCCTTAACACATAGTCATCTAGCTATCAGATTCCATAGGGAAGCAAAAGTTGTTATAATAGCTTGAAAGAACTGACCACCTGTAAATTTCCTCTGGCCTGAGTGGCTCTCTCTACCCCAAGCATCACTGTCAAATGAATTATGAATCACTTGCCTTCCTTATGATCTTGTTGCAGAAGTCAAATGGAAAGCGAAGAATGTTGGATCGAATTAGTATATCTTTTTGTCAGGAAAAAATAAATCAATAAATTTTTCCTTTACTCTTATATCCTGTTAGCACTTAGATGTTATTCAATATAATAAACTTTTTTTTTTTTTTTGAGATGGAGTCTGGTTTTGTGGCCCAGGCTGGAGTGCAGTGGCGTGAGCTCACTGCAAGCTCCGCCTCCCGGGTTCACGCCATTCTCCTGATTCAGCCTCCCGAGTAGCTGGGACTACAGGCGCCCGCCATCACGCCCGGCTAATTTTTCTATTTTTAGTAGAGTCAGGTTTTCACCGTGTTAGCCAGGATGATCTCGATCTCCTGACCTTGTGATCCGCCCACCTCGGCCTCCCAAAGTGCTGGCATTACAGGCATGAGCCACTGCGCCCAGCCAATAATTAACTTTTTTTTTTTTTTGAGACAGAGTTTCACTGTCACTCAGCTGGGGTGCAGTGGCAAGATATCAGTTCACTGCAAGCTGTCTCCCGGATTCAAGCGAGTCTCCTGCCTCAGCCTCCTGAGTAGCTGGGATTACAGGCGCACACCACCATATCGAGATAATTTTTGTGTTTTTAGTAGAGATGGGGTTTCACCATGTTAGCCAGGCTGGCCTCAAAACTCCTGACCTCAAGTAATCCGCCTGCCTCGGCCTCCCAAAGTGCTGGGATTACAGGTGTGAGCTACCATGCCCAGCCAACTGTTAAAAAATTATTTTTAGTTGTGTTCGTCTAGATGAATGCACCAATCAAACCTTTTCTCTTTTTATTCTGTATCAAATTTCAGTCCTCAATTTTTAAGCAGATTTATTTGTTAGCTTTTCCCTCCACATAGGTTTGCCAGATAAAATATAGGATGCCAGTTAAATCTGAACTTGAAATGAACAATTTTTTTTTTTTTTTTTTTTTTTTTTTGAGGTGGAGTCTCACACTGTCGCCTGGGCTGGAGTGCAGTGGTGCGATCTCGGCTCACTGCAACCTCTGCCTCCTAGGTTCAAGCGATTCTCCTGCCTCAGCCTCCCGAGTAGCTGGGATTACAGGCGCCCACCACCACACCCAGCTAATTTTTTGTATTTTTAGTAGAGACGGGTTTCACCATCTCTACTAAAAGATGGCCAGGCTGGTCTTGAACTTCTGACCTCATGATTCACCCGCCTCGGCCTCCTAAAGTGCTGAGATTACAGGCATGAGCTCCGCACCCGACTGTTGATCAACAATAATTTTTAAGTTGTTTAGTATTTTTAGTCCCTTGCAATATTTGGGACATAATTATGCTAAGAAAGTATTCACTGCTTATCTGAAATTCAGATTTTACTAGGTGGCTGCTTGTTTGCCAGTTCGGACAACCCTACCCCCATATCAATCTTCTTAGGCTAAATGAAGACCCATCATTGTCTCTTCATGGTGTTCATGCCAGGTGCGGTGGCTCACACCTGTAATCCCAGCACTTTGGGAGGCCAAGGTGGGGGCAGATCACCTGAGGTCAGGAGTTTGAGACCAGCCTGACCAACATGGCGAAACCCCAGTTCCATTAAAAATACAAAAAAATTAGCCAGGTGTGGTGGTGTGTGCCTGTAGTCACAGCTACTCAGGAGGCTGAGGCAGGAGAATCGTTTGAGCCCGGGAGGCAGAGGTTACAGTGAGCCAAGATCGTGCCACTGCACTCCAGCCTGGGTGACAGAATGAGATTCTGTCTCAAAAAAAAAAAAAAGAAGAAGAACAAGTACAGCTCCTAAGTGGTGGAAGTCCTTTGTGCCTTGCTGTTAATCTGGACACTGTCCGAGTAACAGCAAGGTCACCGCAGTAAAACCTCATGGGAAATGTGAAAGTTGTCAATCAGAATGGAGTCAGTTATGTTAAAAACCCTGACAAATAGAAGGGAGGATTCTCATGCATGAACGCCTGATAACAAGAACTATGAAAAAGACTGTAAAAACTACCACTTTGCCCAAAGACCATCACAACCTTACACACACACACACACATATTCCTGCAAGGACAGTAACTGCTTGTCCAACTTGGAAATGGTGCCATCCTTGTTATTGATCCTTGCAGCCAGGGATAATTATCTCAAAACAATTATGTAATCCTCCTCACTTTTCCTTTAAAAACCTTTGCCTTCCTTTACCTTCTGTATACACAGAGTTTACTATGACACGCATATTCCCATTGCAATGCCTATTCCTGAGTAAACACCATTTTCTTTTAGTGAGTCTCCCTTTCTGTTATGTGGGTTGACAAAAGATAGGACTTTTCCGTGCACAGAACACTCTCCCATCCACTCTACCCTGGGGTAGGTTTTGAGTCCTATGTTGAGATGGGAACACTAAGGAGGTTCAGCAGATGGAGGTCACTTGCTGAGGGTAGGGGCAAGGCTGACATGAACCCAAGCCTCTTTCCCGTGAGCCACAACTTCCCCTGTGTGAGACAGGGCTGCTTAGAACTTGGTGTCAAGGAGAAGTGAAGGTCTCCTCACCCCAAGGTTTTCCCACCCCTTCTCATCCTGCACGCACCTTGACCTCTTTCTCCAGGTAGTCACACAGCAGAATCTGGGGGTCGATGAGGTAGTCAGGGGGATAAAGGGGCATCGAGTGCAGGGGCCGGCGGCTCACGCTGCTCCTACAGGCTGCACGGCGCCCGGCCTTGGGGAACACCAGCCTTCGGATGGGGGATACAAAGCCCTGGGGAGGAGAGGAGGAATGAGAGTAATAACAGTGGTTGCTTTTATTGAGCACTTACTATGCTCACTTTTACTTACATTACCTAATTTAATTCTCACCAAAACTCTGCAGAAGGGGTACCTCTGTAAGTCCCATTTTACAGATGGAAAAACTAAACCCTAGAGAGAAACTAACTGATAAAGTCACCAGCTAGTAGTGGTGGAACCAATAGTTCACTGTGGGCATTCTGGATCCAACGACCTTCTTTCTAAACATCGAGGTGAGAGTGTAGCTCCTGCCAAACAGGTTTGAGGAATGAGTCTAGGCTGGGGCAAATACAGAAAAATATTAGGATTCAAGGCTGGGCATGGTGGCTCACACCTGTAATCCCAGTACTTTGGGATGCCGAGGTGGGCGGATCACTTGAGGTCAGGAGTTGGAGACCAGCCTGGCCAACATGGTGAAACCCTGTCTCTACTAAAAATACAAAAATTAGTTGGGCATTGTGCCAGGAGCCTGTAATCTCAGCTACTCAGGAGGCTGAGGCAGGAGAATCACTTGAACCCAGGAGGCAGAGGCAGAGGTTGCAGTAAGCCAAGATCGAGCCACTGCACTCCAGCCTGGGCAACAGAACAAGACTCCATCTCAAAAAAAAGAAAAAAAATATATATATATGTATTATATATATATAAAAAATATAAATATATAATATATGTATAATACAGGTATATATACAAATATATATAATATATTTTAGGATTCAATGTGGTGGAGTGGTGGTGGGTGCATTGCTATTTCTGAGGCTATTCTCTGTGCTTTCCTAAAAGTTAGAAATTATTAATAAGTACATTTAAGTAGAATCCAGGGGCACCTGCATAAAAATGGCCTGGATCAAGGTTAAAGGTGCAAATTCTGGGACTCAACCCAGACCAGCCGTCTGAATCTCAAAAGAAAACTTAAGTTCCACCTAGAACAGCATTTCTCAACATGAGATTCCTGGAACAGTAGCACCACCTAGGAATTGAGAGAAATGCAGATTATCGGGCCCCATCCCAGACCCACTAAATTAGAAACTCTGGGAGCAGGGCCCAGCAATTAGGGTTTAACAAGCCCGCCGGGTGCTTCTGATGCATGCTCAAGTGTGAGACTGCACTTTAGAGCAGTCGCTCCCAGCCCTGGCTATCCTTTAGAACTACCTGGGGAAGGTCAGGCACGGTGGCTCACACCTGTAATCCTAGCACTTTGGGAGGCTGAGGCGGGAGGATAGCTGGAGCCCAGGAGTTCGAGACCAGCCTTGGCAACATGGTGAAACTGTCTCTGCAAAAAATATACCAAAAAAATTCGCCGGATGTGGTGGTATGCACCTGTAATCCCAGCTACTTGGGAGGCTAAGGTGGGAGGATCACCTGAGCCTGGGAGGTCAAGGCTGCTGTGAGCTGCAATTGCAACACCACACACCAGCTTGGGTGACAGAGTCACTACCTTGTCAAAAAAAAAAACAAAACAAATAACCTCCCCCCGCCCCCAACACACACACAAACTACCCGGGGACCTTCTAAAACTTCAGATGTCCAGGTTACACTCCCGACCAACTGAATCAGAAATTCTGGGACTGAGACGCAGGCATAAAATTTTTAATTTTTAAATTTTTTTGAGATAGGGTGTTGCTCCATTGCCCAGGTTGGAGTGCAGTGGCACAATCATAGCTCACTGCATCCTTGATCTCTTAGGTTCAAGAGATCCATCTGCCTCAGCCTTCCAAGTAGTTGGGACTACAGGTGTGTGCTACCATGCCCTGCTAATTTTTTAAATTTTTAGTAGAGATGAGGTTTCACTGTGTTGCCTAGGCTGGTCTTGAAATCCTGAGCTCAAACAATTCTCCTGCCTTGGCCTCCCAGAGGCCAAGGGATTACAGGTGTGAGCCATTGGGGTTAATGAGCTCAGTCCATTAAGATTTTTTAAGCCTTCTTAGGTAATTTCAAAAGGCAGCTCAGCTGAAAACCACCGAGTGAATGTATGGTGTGATTACTTAACTCTTGTAATGAGGCAAATGTGAGTAAGACATCCTCCCTGCCCTCAAGGAGCTCACATTCTTTTCAGGTAAACAGAACACAAGTCCACAAATACATCTGTTCATTTACTCATTCATTCAGTAAACATGTATTCACACCTGTATGGCTGGACTCTGTGCTGGGTGCTGAGGATTCAGTGGAGACCTGGACCCTATCTGTACCTCCAGGGCTTGTGATAAATGACCTAGACTAGTGAGTTTCCAACTTTATGTGCCCTGGAGTTTTGATTCAGTAGGGTTGGGTTGGAGCCTGAGACTCTGCATTTCTACCAAGCTCCCATCTGGTGCTGATACTACTGGTCTGTGCACCACGCTTTGAGTAGCCAGGATCTAAACCAGTGGTTCTCAAAGTGTGGCCCCACAACCGTCAGCATAACCTGTGGGTTATTAGAATTGCAAATTCTTTCTGACTCAGTGATCCTCCCCCCTCTGCCTCACAGTAGCTGGGACCACAGGCATGCACCACCACCACACCTAGCTAATATATATATATATTTTTTAAAGAGATAGGGTCTTACTATGTTGCCCAGTCTGGTCTTGAACTCCTAGGCTCATGCAATCCTCCTGCCTCAGCCTCCCAAAGTGTTGCCATTACAGGCATGAGTCACTGTGCCTGGCCAGAAATGCAATTTCTTGAACCCCATCCCAGGCCTATTGGCCCAGAAACTGGGGGTAAGACCCAGTGATCTGTGTTTTAATGAGCCCTCAGGTGATTCTTATGGGTACTCAGCTTATGTTAGAACCAATATCATGGGGCCAGGATGGGGTGTGTAGAAACTTTGAGGAATGAGAGGAAACTATCTGGGAGAACGCATGCCAAGCAGGGGGCACAGCATGTGCAAAATTCTGGATGCCTCAAAGGCTGGATGAGGGTGAGCCTGGAGAAACTGTGTACAGTCAGTCTGCCGTGGCTAGATTATGAGATGAACATATCTTGAATGCCAGCTATGGAGCTGGGACTTTGTCTTGCATATGTGCGTGTGTCAGGGGTGGGGAGGTGGTATTTTTGTTGGTAGCCCTGAATGGTTCAGCTCTGCCCACCTGTCCAGCCCCATCTGCCTCACTCTTGTCCCCTGGGCCCCCACTACACAGTCCTCCTTCAGTCCCTCTGGCTTGCTACGTTCCTTCCCACTGTGAGGCTTTTGCACATGCTGTTCCTCTGCCTCAAACGTTCTTCTCTACCCCCTTTCCTTCCACCTGTCAGCTCTCAACTCAAACTGATCAGTCTAGGGCTTGGTACCCTAATATTCTGTCCTCCAGCACTGATCATAGGACCTTCTATGAATTTTTTTTTTTTTAGACAGAGTCTCACTCTGTCACCGAGGCTGGAGTGCGGTGGCATGATCTCGGCTCACTGCAACCTCTGCCTCCTGGGTTCAAGCCTCAGCCTCCTGAGTAGCTGGGATTACAGGCATGAGCCACCACGCCCAGCTAATTTTTGTATTTTTAGTAGAGACGGGGTTTCACCATTGGCCTGGCTGGTCTCAAACCCCTGACTTCAGGTGATCTCCCGCCTCAGCCTCCCAAAGTGCTAGAATTACAGGCGTGAGCCACCGCACCCGGCCCTTCTATGCAATTTTACATTAATTTATTCATTGCTTTAACAAAAGAAATGAAATGCCTGGTGCATAATAGGCATTCAATAAATATCTATTAAAAGAACAAACTAAGAGAAAACATGCATGTATGTCTTGGCTCCCTTCTGAGCCCTCTGTGATTCATGTGGGCACCTTTTAGAACAGCCCGGACCCATGTTTCTGGTGGGGGTAGGGTAGAGGGGAGGATGGAAATGGGGGTAAGATGGAAGTTAAAATCAGAGTAGCTCCCTGAACTCCAAAGACAACCAGGTGAGACACCCGGAGAAGCATACCAGAAAACTTCAGAGTCAGAAGGGGTGAGGATCTGGGGGTGGGGGGATGGCTTCTGGCTGACGCCTTACACATAGGCCCTTGTAGAAAGGTGGGGAGGGGCAGGGGAGCAGGTGGGAGACTCAGGCCTGGGTAGGCAACCTCCTATCAGAATTGTCCTGACTGGGTCCTTCTGTCTGGGGCAGTGGCGAGCAGGAGAATGGATCTGCTGGGTGTCTGTCTGTCCCTCTGTCTGAGAGGCTGCAGGAGAGAGCCACCAGGAACACCAGGGAAGCAGATGTGGAGAATCTCTCAAACTAAGTCTGTCTGGCCAGGTTTCCTGGGAAGATCCCTGTCTGTCCGTGTTAGGGATGCCAGAGGCCACTGAGAGTGGAGAAATAGAGAGTTGAGAGCCTGAATGTCTGGCTGCCCAAGAATGGGAAGGAAGTTACTTCCAAATGAGAAGAAAGACCCCACTTATGCCCCTTGCTACTGACCCCCCACCCTGCCCCAGGTTGCCCCCTTCCCCAACTTTGGGGACATTCCTTGCCTCCCTCCCAACCTCCTACCTACCTTCTTCCCTTTCTTGACTTCATATTCCATGGTGAAATGTCCCCTCTACTTCTGCCACCCTCCTGGCCATCCCCTCCACCCCCCCAACCCAGTTCCTTTGTTCTTTTTCCTGCCTGGTCGGAAACTCCACCAGCCCTGGAGTTCCTGCCCCTCCCATCTGATGGGGAGGGCAGGGGGTGTGGAGGACACAGCCTTGGGACCCTGCAGCTGAAGGGTGGAAGCCCAGGCAGAGCTGTCCTGAAGAGGGAGGCTCAAGGTCTCTAGCCAGAAGACATGTTATTGGGGGAGCTTGGGAATTGGCCAAGGCTAGGAAAGTGTCCCCCACATTTGAAGTCCTAGTTTGGAAAATTCCAAGTTCCAGCCCTACTTCTGCCACTGACCTTGTTGTGTGACCTTGGCAAGGCAAGTCGGTTCCCCCTTTCACAGCCTGTTTCCCCCTGCCCTCTATAGTTGGAAGTAAACACTGCCTCCCTCCCTAGGCTGCTGTGGTGAGAAATGAAAGAGTGGGTGGAAAGTGCCTTATAGAGAGTATTGTAGCCAAGCAAGTTATGATTTTTAAAAATTAATCATTACTCTTAAGGGAGGCAGTATGCGTGGGCTTTGAAGATAGGCTGCTTGAGTTTGAATCCTGGCTTTGGCACTTACTAGGGTTATGACCTTTGGGAAGTCTCTTAACCACCAGTGCCTCAGTTTTCCCATCTTTAAAATGAGCATAATACTAGTTTAACCTCATAGTGACCTTGTGGGGATTAAATGCACCTAGAAGAACTGGCACATATTAAGTACTCAGTAAGGCCGGGCGCTGTGGCTCACGCCTGTAATCCCAGCACTTTGGGAGGCTGAGGCGGGCGGATCACCTGAGGTCAGGAGTTCGAGACCAGCCTGGCCAACATGGTGAAACCCCGTCTCTACTAAAAATACAAAAATTAGCCAGGCATGGTGGCACACACCTGTAATCCCAGCTGCTCGGGAGGCTGAGGCAGGAGAATCGCTTGAACCTGGAAGGTGGAGGTTGCAGTGAGCTGAGATCGCGGCACTGTACTCCAGCCTTGGTGACTGGCTGAGACTCCATCTCAAAAAGAGCAAGACTCCATCTCAAAAAAAATTTTTTTTTAAAAAGTGCTCAGTAAATATTAACTGTTTACCTGCCTAGCAGTTGTCAACTTAAAGAACAAACAGAGACTCTCTAAAAGAAATTTCACTTAGGGGCCAGGCGCGGTGGCTCAATCCTGTAATCCCAGCACTTTGGGAGGCCGAGACAGGCGGATCACGAGGTCAGGAGATTGAGACCATCCTGGCTAACACGGTGAAACCCCGTCTCTACTAAAAAAAATACAAAAAACTAGCCTGGCAAGGTGGCGGGCACTTGTAGTCCCAGCTACTTGGGAGGCTGAGGCAGGATAATGGTGTAAACCTGGGAGGCGGAGCTTGCAGTGAGCTGAGATCCGGTCACTGCACTCCAGCCTGGGCGACAGAGCGAGATTCCGTCTCAAAAAAAAAAAAAAAAAAAAAAAGAAATTTCATTTAGGAATTAAGCATTGCAGTGGGAATTACCTATATGCCATAGTAAGTGATGTGCACTTTCAGGGAGGTGGAGGAAGACAAAAATTTTTAAAAGAAAAAAAATAAGGATTATGTTATTGTTTTTGAAATAATTATCCTTGACTACAAAGATCAAGAGCAAGCGTGACGCCAGTCTAAAGTTGGACAGGCAGTTGCTGGGCAGATGTCCTTGTGGAAGTATTTTTTGTGCAAGGTTTCGATGGCCTTTGTGCAAGGTTGTGATTTTTGTAGTCTTTTGTGTAATCAGTCCTTGTTATTATCTGTTTTGTCATCAGTCTTATTTGTTTTGCAAGCATGAAAACCCTCTATGGCTTTCCCCAGCTCTATTTGTCAAGGTTTTCTTAACATTAGTGACTCCATTTTTATTCTGACCATATTCATAGGGTCTTGAGCTGTTTTACTCTGTTGGAAGTATATTAGAGAGGCAAGGTCCCCTTTGTGGCTCTGTGCTGAATACTTTACATATCTTATCTTACTCCTCGCAGTGTTGAGTACCATAATAGTACCTATTACACAGATTTTTTAAACTGAGGCTGAAGTGCAGAGCCTGGTTCAAGGAGGTCACACAGTGAATGAGAGGAGGACCTGGCATTTCTGGCTGGTGTAGATCTGAGCCTAGTGTTCCTTACCTCTAGGACCTATGCATTCTGCATGTCCCACCCAGGACAGATGGAAAGGTTCTGAGTGGCCCATTCACACCTTGCAGCGACACCTGGGTTCTGGAGACCTAAGCTCTGGAACTGATTTGCTATATATGACCTGGTCCAGGTTGCTTATTGTAACTTCTCTTGGCCTCAGCTTTCTTATCTTTCCAATGGGAACAATAATTTCCCAAAGCCCTGCTCTGCTTGTCAGAGCTGTGGCCAGAAAGACACAGGCCATGGATGGAAGAGCAGTTGGAAACCGTAAAGTACCAATGCATTGGATTCTACTGAAAGACTTTTTCTGAAAGCCTGGTGTTCAGGGTCAGTGCCTTGGAGGGAGGATCAGAGCTCCCCACTGCTTCTGGGTGTGAGAGCTACAGGAGATCCTAGCCACTAGCCCTTCCTCTTCCTTCCCCTCCCTTGGAGGGGAAATGGCCCAGGCTGCTTAGTGCTGGCTCTCACAGCCACTCCCTCCTGCTCCCCTGCATCCTGCCGGTCACCTCCCAGTACAGGAAGTGAGATCTCCACTCAGCCTGCCAGGCGAACAGGAAGAGGCCAGGGAGTGCTAGCCAATTCCTGACTCTGCTCTGGACATGAAAGCTCCAACTTAACCCCTTGAGCCAGCCCAGAATTCCCACTCTTGGAGCAGCAGCAGGGCATGAGAGATGTGGTCTCTTGCTCTGGCATCTCTATGACTGGCTTTTGCAAGCCTTTTCCTCTCTCTGGGCCTCAATTTCCCTGTCTATAAAATGGAAGCTTGTATTATTCCTGGACTAGCTCCAAACATCGCTGAACTGCTGGGAATCTCAGATAGGGCAATAAGTGTTTTGCATGCTACTAAAATTAGAAAACTATCTCTGTATTCCCTGCAGTGCTCCCTGCAGAGCCATAACAGATGAAGTGCTTAGTAAATGTCAGCGGAAGTGGTTGGAGATGGTGGATGTAGGCTCAAATGTATATGACCTTGAACACATTACCTCATCTCTTAGCACCTCAGAGCCCTCACGTGTCAAAAGCAGGAAAATGGCAGTACCTGCCTTGGAAGGCTGCTGCAGGGATTGAATGAGAACAAAAGTGCACAATGATAACGTATTATTAAAATTAGTTTGTGAATCAAAGAAGAGATGAGCAAAACAAAGTCCCTGCTCTCAAAGACTTAACAATTGTGGCAGATAGGATTCATCTCTTTTGAGCCACCTCCAGTTGATTGGCAGGGGCTGCCTGAGAGCTGCGTAGAGGATTATAAAAACTGGATCTACTCCCAGCAGGAAGAAGGGATTGATTATCAATGCCTGCCACAGGCAGGAGTGGGGAAAGTAGCAGCAGGTGATCAGTGCACATGTTGACCGTGATCTGGTTAGAGAAAAAGACACACAAGCCAAGAACTCTGGTATCAGGCCAGCAACTTGTTTGGGGGAAGGCAGAATCAGGAGCCATTCCCCAGGCCGGTGGCATTCAAGCCAAACCTTGAAAGGTGAATGGAAGGAAGGTTACTTTGGGCAGAGGGAACAGCTTGAGCAAACACAGTGGCAGAATTCTGCCTGCAAGGAACAGACAACCCCGCCAAAGGTGGCTTAGACAAGAAGGACCATTTATTCTCTCTTAAAACAAGTCCAATAATGAGTGCTTTCAGGTTATTTGAGCAGCTCAACACTAGCATCAAATTCCTTTATATTTTTTACTTTGCTGGTGTTATTGTGTCCCTCCAATTTATTTGTTGAAGCCGTAACCCCCAGGACCTCAGAATGTAACAGTATTTGAAGACAGGGTCTTTAAAGAGGTGATGAAATTAAAATGAGGCAGTTAGGGTGGACGTTACTCCAATCTCCCTGGTGTCCTTATATGAAGAGGAAATTTGCATCTGTAATCCCAGCACTTTGGGAGACCAAGGCAGGCGGATCACCTGAGGTCAGGAGTTCAAGATCAGCCTGGCTAACATGGTGAAACCCCATCTCTACTAAATATACAGAATTAGCTGGGTGTGGTGGCACACGCCTGTAATCCCAGCTATTCGGGAGGCTAAGGCAGGAGAATAGCTTGAACCTGGGAGGCGGAGGTTGCAGTGAGCTGCGATCGCGCCACTGCACTCCAGTCTGGGTGACAGAGTGAGACTCCATCTCCAATGAAAAAAAAAAAAAAAGGAAATTTGGACACACCAAGACAGCACGGTCACTTGTGCACAGGGAAAGACCGTGTGAGAACACAGTGGGAAGACAGACAGCTGTCTGCAAGCCATGGAGAGGGGCCTCAGGAGAAATTGTCAGAGGTATTTGAACCGGAGCAACTCCATCTTGAATAGAAGCTAAGCAGAGTGAGGCTGAGACCTACTGGGCTGCATTTCCAGACAGTTAAGGCATTCTAAGTCGCAGGATGAGATAGGAGGTCAGCTCAAGATACAGGTTGTAAAGACCTTGCTGATAAAACAGTTGCAGTAAACAAGTCGGCTAAATCCCACCAAAACCAAGATGGCCACGAGACTGACCTCTGGTTGTCCTCACTGCTACACTCCCACTAGCACCATGACAGTTTACAAATGCCGTGGCAACATCAGGAAGTTACCCTATATGGTCTAAAAAGGGGAGACATGAATAATCCACCCCTTGTTTAGCATATCATCAAGAAATAACCATACAAATGGGCAACCAGCAGCCTTTGGGCTGTTCTGCATATGGAGTAGCTGTTCTTTTATTCCTCTACTTTCTTAATAAACTTGCTTTCACTGTACTGTATGGACTCACCCTGAATTCCTTCTCGTGTGAGATACAAGAATCATCTCTTGGGGTCTGGATGGGGACCCCTTTCCTGTAACAAAACCAACTCTGCCAATGCCTTGATCTTGGACTTCCAGCCTCCAGAACTGTCAGGAAATAAATTTCTGTTGTTTAAGCTGCCTGGTCTGTGGTATTTTGTTATGGC